TTCATTTGCAAGCCCCACTCATCACCGTGTTGGCGAAAAGCACGTGTCCTATCACTATAAAGAAAAGAGGAAAAAGTGAACTAAGTGTGAAACGTTTGTCACATTCTGGGAGATCCTTATTGCATGTGACCAGGATACTGATAGCAGTCAAAGCACTGCATGGCCGGTGATGAAACACAAGAGTCTCCTTGGCCAGGGGCTCTGTCCCCAGAGACCTGAATCACCCATGGGACTTGGAAGTTGCCATGGAAACACATTTGCTTGCACGAAAGCATCAAACTCTAACCAGATTCAGGACTTCTGTATTGTACCATGCAAGTTAGCTCGTATCTTTAGGCTGTGAGGCTGGACGATGCCCCTCCGGCCTTTAAAAACATACTGATGTGGGGGCGCCTGGGTGGCTCGGTCGGTTGAGTGTCCGACTTCGGCTCAGGTCATGATCTCACGGTCCGTGAGTTCGAGCCCCGCGTCGGGCTCTGTGCCGACAGCTCAGAGCCTGGAGCCTGTTTCAGATTCTGTGTCTCCCTCTCTCTCTGCCCCTCCCCTGTTCATGCTCTGTCTCTCTCTGTCTCAAAAATAAATAAACATTAAAAAAAAAAAAAAAAAGATTTCAAAAAAAAAACATACTGATGTGATAGAGTCTTACCCTTTCAAATGAGAAGACCCTTTCCTACCGAGTGCTTTTCCTGCAGCTGTGTGCCTTTGTTGGATAGTTGACAAATCTTGTGTTTGTAAGGGGCTTTGCTATTTTTAAACTGCTTTGCTTTTGTGAACTTCTGGCAATTTGGTTTTTTGCATTAACTATGGAGAATTAGGGTGGAGAGGGATTAAAAAATTTGCCTTAGAGGGTGTGGGAGAGCCAGACCTGGGGAAGTAGAGGGCCTTGCCAGAAACAGTGTGATCCCCACATTGCTCTCATTCTGTGTCAGGGCGTGGAGAGAGCACTAACGTAAAAGGTAGGCAACGTAAATGAAGTACACGATAAGTAAAAGGGATTAGCGGTTTTTCAGACACTCCCTTCTTGGGGTGTCCCAAGGTGAAAACATATATTAAAACACAACATTTAACTTGGTTGAAAAAAAATAAAAAGAGGACAATAGGGAATTTTGAAACATGATAGCTATCTGTGAAGAACTTCCTTCTTATTCCCCAAGTCACGTTTGGGAGCTATTGACAACAGAGCTTTGCTGTGATAAAGTGCAAGGCTTTATTTAAAAAAAAATTATTAAAAAAATTTTTTTAATGTTTACTTTTAATTTTTTTTTTCAACATTGATTTATTTTTGGGACAGAGAGAGACAGAGCATGAACGGGGGAGGGGCAGAGAGAGAGGGAGACACAGAATCGGAAACAGGCTCCAGGCTCTGAGCCATCAGCCCAGAG